TCAGGTCCCTTCCGACCCTACTAACTATGAAACTATGAGACACCCAGTCAGGTTGAAATCCCCGTGATAACTCAGCTTATTTTTTCCAACCTAGCTTCAATAGACCATCCTCTTCTGGTGTGATTTTGTGATCTGAAACTCTGCTTCTATCATCTCTGTTTCCTTCTTTTTATTTGCTTCCTGCACTTTTCTAAGGGAGACAACTTGGTTTCACCTGAGTTGCTGATAGCTGTCATACACTTTTAAGTTCCTAGCTCACAAGAATACATCATGCTGAACAGCAGTTATTCCTGCTTGATGTTTATACATTTTAAAATCTTGTTAACAGCTTTGTGGATCCATCTCTGATCTTTTCATATGCTTGGACTGTAAAATGTTTTGGCCGTCTTTTGGGTCTGTTTGTACAGTGCTTAGCACAGATGATTTAGTATTATGGGAGTAAATAATACTAACATAGTATTTTTATTATTCATAATGCCCCTAAACTTTTACTTTTTTACACACAGGCCAAGTACAGACATTGCACTTTTACCAGTGTAAGTGACTGGAAACTGGTTTCTGCCCATAACAGAACAGAAATTTGGCACACCAAACTGATTTAAAAATGGCATTACCCAGTCTAAAATTTTCTCTCTCCCCCACCACCAAAGAGTGAATGTGTCTTTTCACTACCAATCTCAACTATGCTGCTTACAAAAAACCATGTAACTGAGATCAATTCCAGCTGGGACTTTTTGAATGTCTGTACCTAGCCTTAAGCTTTTTCACTAGTGTTCTTTGAACCTTGTCTTATCAATTCATTCCTCTAGCCCTTAAATAATTTTTGTAACTATTATTTGAATTCATTCCAGTTTGTCAGCCTCTTCCTGTCACTAAGAACTTGAGACAGTGCTGACTCGTTCATTACAGTAGGATTCTTATACCTCTGATCTGTGATATATCTATGTATAGAGTCTGCATTCATCATGGGGTGTTTTCTGCTAATATATTCCATTATAAACTTTTACTAAGCTTGTTTTCCAGTTTGACAATACTGCAATTCAGATTTCTCCTTCTTGTTTATTAGTTGAGCTCTTTTCCCAAGAAGCTTAGTTTAGGATGAATGTCCAGGATGTATCTTATTTTGGTGTTTTCCTTCTCAAGACTGTTAACTCTTCAGGTCCTTTATGTTGCTCATTTGACTTTAATGTCAATTTGCTTGAATTAGGACTTTCTGTTTGCTTGAATGAGGACCTTGTACTTACAAGGTTTTTGGATTCACTCCCATACAAGGAACCTGAAACCCTCATTCACTCCTGCACAGATTATGCAGGCTTCAGTTCCAAGTGCACAGAAGTAGGTGGGTAATATGACTCCTTCCTAGACCAAATGGGTATGGAGGGACCAGGACGTGACATGCTAACTTGACTCCCTGGATGCACTAGACCAGTATAAAAGGGTCACAATTTGCTGCTGATACAGTCAAGAAACAAATTATTTCTCAGACTGAGTAAGGAGGAAGCAAGGAGGAAACTGAGGCTCAAAGACTGTGACTGATAGGGAATGGAACAGCTTAAAACCATAACTAGACTGTAGCCCTCAGTGATGGCTGTAAATTCAATGTACCATTTATCATATGAATAATAATGACACACATTTATTTGCAATGAAAGATGCTATTCTAATCCCAAAATCCTTGTTCTAGACCCTCAGTAAAGGTGCTAAATAAAACCCAAGCCTCAATTCAGACCCTAGAGATCCCCAGAAGTTCTCTCCCCTACCCCTTTCATTCAGACATTACCATAATGCTTTTTTTAGTTATATTTTTTTCACTAGGTTTCTGACAATCTTTCTCTCTGTATCTAGGAATATAGGATATTAACCCATCTATTAATAGTGGCAAATTGAGGCAGTTTCATTGTTTTATTCTGTTTACTAGAATATCACAAAAACTCTGAAGATCATATGTGAGGTTTTATCCAACGATGACAGTGGACCTGCACGTATTCCTTTTAGCACGTTCCAGTTTCTCTACACGTACATTGCAGAAGTGGATGGGGAGATATCATTATCCCACGTCAACAGAATGCTCAATTACATTGAACAGGAGATGTAAGTAAGCCTGTATCAATTGGCAACCACAGTTAAAGGTGCATTCATCAAAGATGTGTGTTTATACTGTAGATCTTAAATTACAGGGAGGCTGGGAAAACAGGCAAGGAGAAGGGGTAGAAGAAAAGGGAGAGGGAGGGTAGAGCAAGAAAATAGACTAGGGAAAAATTAAATTGGCAGAGAGGTGAAGGAGTAAGTCTGCAAAAGAAAGGACATCCAAGGTAATTTGGAGAAAGCAACAAAGGATATTCATAATGAGGGAATGAGAATAGGATGGGATTCAACACTGACAAGTGCAAAGTGATGCACCTGGGGAGGAAGAGCCGGCAGCATACCTACAGGCTGGGGAACTCCCTTCTCGTCAGTGCAGAGGCAGAAAAGGATCTTGGAGTCATCATTGATGCCAAGATGAACATGGACCAGCAGTGTGGGGATGCAGTCAGCAAGGCCAACCGCACCTTGTCACGCATCCACAGATGCATCTCGAGCAGGTCCAAGGAGGTGATCCTCCCCCTCTATGCAGCACTGGTCAGGCCGCAGCTGGAGTACTGCCTCCAGTTCTGGGCGCCGCACTTCAAGAGGGATGTGGACAACATGGAGAGGGTCCAAAGGAGGCCACTCGCATGATCAGGGGGCAGCAGGGCAGGCCCTACAAGAAGAGGCTACGGGACCTGAACCTGTTCAGCCTCCACAAGAGAAGGCTGAGGGGGGATCTAGTGGCCTGTTACAAACTAGTCAGAGGGGACCAGCAGGCATTGGGGAGTCCCTGTTCCCCCAAGCACTACCAGGAGTGACCAGGAATAATGGGCACAAGCTGGCAGAGGATAGATTCAGGCTAGGTATCAGCAGGCGCTACTTCACTGTTAGGGCGGCTAGGATCTGGAACCAACTTCCAAGCAAAGTGGTCCTGGCTCCTACCCTGGGGGTCTTTAAGAGGAGGCTAGACGAACACCTTGCTGGGGTCATTTGACCCCAGTACTCTTTCCTTCCATGGCAGGGGGTCGGACTTGATGGTCTGCTCAGGTCTCTTCCGACCCTAGAAACTATGAAAAGACAGGAGAAAGAAGAAGTGTGTAATTTGTTTTGTTCAATAGCACCAAAGGTGTACTAGATTCTTTGCAGCTGACAAAGACAGACAGTGTCCCAATGCCAGAATTTTACATTCCTGATAAAAACACAGGCCTCTCTCACTTCAACTTTAAACAATTATTATTACTATTTAGTATGTATATAGCGCAACTGTATACCCTACTGTGCTAAACAAGAAACAAGCCCTTACCCTATAGAACTTACATTTTAAGAGACATACCCTTAGCTGACATAAATTGCCATTACTGTCAATGATTTCCAAAAGGGATAACCTTTTCCAGAGGCTAGGGATTTGCCACTAAAGGAACAAATGTACAATACAAAGCAGTAGAAGAGCAAATAAATGTCCCCAAAGCATTGAATGATGCTTACAATAACGTTATAGAAGGGTAATGTCTGTATTTTTCTGTAAAGAAGGAAAGCACCTTGGTGTAACTTAATAAAATACTTGTTTTAAGTACAGGGAATGTTATGAAGAGGCATAATTTGGAGTCGAGGAAAGAGACAAAGTGCTCAATACATCTACGACCATCAAAGCAAGCATTTCACTGGTTTCCGTGGGAATTGGTGCAGGTCCAATTAATACAGTTTAGAGCAGTGGTGCTCAATCTTTTGGCCCCAGGACTCCCCACAAGTCAGGAAATTTAGCGGCAGGGAACAGCAATTAAAATGCTACCCTCACTCCCTCGCCACCACATTTCCAGATCTGTAGGGAGACCCACATGGCATCAGAGGCAGAGCAGCACTGTTTTAGAGAAAAACATGCCAAAGGTTTAGAGAGCAGAAAGTCAGTGACACTGGGGAAGTTTGTGCTGTATGCTCATGATCAAAATACAGGACTTAATGACTTCAGCTAACAAATCTGTATTTCATTCTTCACACAGCATTGGACCAGATGGTCTAATTAAGGTGAATGATTTTACCCAGAATCCTCAGGTCAAGCTGGAATAAGAGCAAAGCTTTCCAGCAGTATGATAGCAGGATAAATGAAGGAAGCTGCTGCTGAATAACTCTTACCAACTGGTCCTTCATTGACTTTTCTTCTGTCTGTTAATAAACAATTTGGCAAAGAATTCAATAAAAATGTGAGAGTGTGGTTTAAGAAAGAATGTTAGTGAAATGGAATCTTCTTACACACTAATAATTAGAGCATGTCATACATTTTGTGCAGGAAATTTTCCCCTGAAAATTCAATGTTTCTGAAACTGAAAATTTTGCCAGAAAATGTCACTTCCAAAAGACTTTTGTTTCTTCACAAAAAATTCAAAATGAAGAAAATAATTTTGAATCAATGTTTTGCAATAAAATGAAAAATGTTTATTTAAAATGTCATGCTATTTCTACACTGATTTCCCAGTGAATCTCAGATCTAGTTCAAGGTCTCAGATCATTTTAGATGTGTGTCATGGTTTGCCTTCAGTGAGTGTGCATGTGTGGCCTGCAATGCCTCAAAACTGTTTGAAGCACTGTAAACCGTGCACAGTGCATGCACACCCATTTGCTGCACTGCTAATTAGCAGCACAGCACCAAAATTTGACACCCGGAGATTCCTGAAATAAAAAAAACAAACAAACACTAGAGTAAAAAAAGTGGTGCGGTGCATGCAGCAGATGCGTGCAGTGCCAGAAATGGAGCCTGGCCAGCCAGAGCCACACTCTGATGCTGGCTGGGCTCTGACTGAGTGGCCAGATTGGTGCTGCTGCTGCCTCGGGAGGCCCCCAGGGCTTCAGGTAAGGCTGTTAGGGCCAGCACAGGTGCTGGCCCCAGCCTCTCCCACCCCATCCACGTCAAATTGCTACATGCCACAGTGTGCATGCAGGGGCATGCCCTGGGACAATAAGCAGAGGCACAAACACGTGCTGCCGCTATTTGCGCAATGGGAAATGCACACCTTGCATGTGTGCATTTATCTGGACACTCCCAGTATGTCTAAAAGACAGTCTATTGCTCCAGGATGAAACCTGTGGTCACGGGTATATTTTGAGAAGTGGGGTGCAGATGGTGTGGCATATCATCACATATAATGCAACGCAACTTTTTCTCCAGTTAAAGAAAAACACAAGCTTTACTAACACACCAGGTGGCCAGTACTATAGTATTCAATTTAAGATCAAAGCAAAAACATAACTACTGGACTGTGCACTGATTTCCTAGATTATATATACAGCTTTAAAGAGCATAACAAGCTGGCAAAAATGGTCAAAAGATATTGTTCCATTAGTCCTGTAGTCCTTATAGTTAAATATACTTCTATTATTCAGTTTCACAGGACTACATCTAGCCTTCCTGAACATCTTGACAGTCCCTCCAGCTTCACTGTCAATCAGTCAAAAGTTTTTCCTAATATCTAGCCTAAACTTCCCTTGCTGCAACATGAGCCCATTTCTCCTTGTTCTGTCATCTGCACCCACTGAGAACAGTCCAGCTCCGTCCTCTTTTCAACCCCCCTGCAGGGAGTTGAAGGCTGCTATTAAATCCCCACTCTGTCTTCTCTTCTCCAGACTAAACAAACCCAGTTCCCTCAGCCTCTCCTCAGAAGTCATGTGCCCCAGCCCCCAAACCATTTTCATTGCCCTCCGCTGAAATAGAAATGCCACTGCCTTTCCCAGGGTGTTGGTTTAAAATTTTGGGTGGAGCAGGAATAAACAAGGGTGCAACTGCACCACTGCACACACACTGGATCTGCCCCTGCCCCTGCCTGTGGTTGACATTTCAATCTTCTGGCACAATGGGAGTCTCCTACACCAAGGTTAAGACTCATATGCACAGGATACAGACCCTTTTCACGGATTCATCCAGGATTGTGGAATGAACTCACTCAAGAATAAGGGGCCATCACAAATCTTCTGTTTCAAGGACAAGGCACATTTCTTTGATCGTACCTCCTCTATTATAAGTATATAGCAACCTATACAGTTAATAATCAACGCAATCCAAAATCAGCTAACAACCAAAAACACAGATCAAAACTAAGAAAATGAAACATTCCACTGCATGGTCTTCAGCCATGGGGATAAAGTGAGAGAAAAAGCAATACGGAAGGCTCAATACACTACTAAAGGCATTCAGAGATACCACAGTGAAGGATATGGTAAAAGGAAAGGGAAAGGACAGAGGGGGTCTGATGGAGAAAATAGTGGATGGCTGGGTAATTAAAAACATAAAGCATATGCACAATGAGGTTGAAAATTACTCCAGTAACTATACTCCTGCCTTTTCCTAACCCGTGCATCAGTAGCATTGTGTCAGCACTGCTTCTACAGCCCA